ATGCTAGAACCCTTGTGTGTCTCCACAGCTCCCTAATGTCTATCCAATCTACATAGGCGTGCGCACTGGGTGTGCTTGGGCAATCCCCGCGGCACGCCTATGTTTATTGAGACCGGCAGGGGAGATCTCAGGATCCCCCCTGTCGGCTCATGCAGAGCCGGCGCTATCCGAGCGCCGGCTCTGCTCTCAGCCTCCCTCACCGACCCACAGGCAGGGAGGGAGGCAGGAGAGGACCCGGGGAGCTCTTGCCAGTAGCTCCGCCGGGTTCCTCTCGCAGGATTCTGAGCGTTGCCGTGGCAACGCTCAGATCTCGCGAGAGTGAACTCTAGCCCCGCAGGCTAGAGTTCACTCTCCACTGAACCACCAGGGATGGAAGCAGCAGAAAGGATCCCAAGGTAGGAAGGGAGGGGGGATATTTACTAAACGGCCCCCACACAATACACACAATCACCCAAACATACAGCACCCACATACAGTACCCCCCACACACAGCATCTACACACATACAGCACACACACCCTTACACACACACACTAACAGCACCCTTACACACACAGCACCCTCACACATACACACACACAGCACCCTCACACGCACAGCACCCTTACACACACACACTAACAGCACCTTCACACACATAGCACCCTTACACACACAGCACCATCACACATACACACTAACAGCACCCTCACACACACACTAACAGCATCCTCACACACATACAGTAACAACACCCTCACACACACAGCACCCTCACACACACATCACCCTCACACACACACTAACAGCACCCTCACACACACATCACCCTCACACACACACTAACAACACCCTCACACACACACACACTAACAGCACCCTCACACAAACAGCGCCTTCTCACACACACACACAGCGCCTTCACACACATACACAGCGCCCTTACGCACAGCGCCCTTACATACACAGCGCCCTTACACACACAGCGCCCTTACACACAGCGCCTTCACACACACACAGTGCCCACACACACACACACACAGTGCCCCCCCCACACACACACAGCAGTATATGTGTGTATATATATATATTTGTGTTAAGGGCTCATGATAGTACAGAAGATACAAACACTGATAAGTGTGGGATAGTGTGAAAGAGCAAGTCGGTTGTGGTGTGCCGGAACCGACGATGAGGTAGGCCTGCAAATAAAGAGGGCCCACCAATAAAAATGTATGAGAAAAGGAGTTAATAAAAGAGGAGTGGGTGGGAGGGTGATGCAGCGCTGACCTCGAACGGTATGGAGCCAGGTAAGGGGTGTCCCTTAAGTAGGGAGAAGGTGAGACATACGCCCCTCCCACAATTACAGGCCAAAGGCCTTAATACTTGTGTTAAGGGCTCATGATAGTACAGAAGATACAAACACTGATAAGTATGGAATAGTGTGAAAGAGCAAGTCGGTTGTGGTGTGCCGGAACCGACGATGAGGTAGGCCTGTAAATAAAGAGGGCAAAAAAGTAGAAAATATACTTTATTACGAAACGAGCAGTATACATACTTCAACCAGACATATCTTGAAAGGCATTTCTAACTTCTTGTACCGGGTTAGGTATGTATCTAGAGTATGCAGAAGACTTCCAGCGCCCTAGTGACTTGATAACATGTACTGGAATGTTTGCACTGGACGCTGTGGAGGCCGCCCCTATGCGGAAGGAGTTGCCCGAATAGTTAGCTGATTTTAGGCCTAGTTGTGTAAGTAGGGACCTGACGTGGGTCATGAAGGTGGTGGTAGTGAGTACCGAACCTTGTAGACAGAAAAGTGGTTGAGATGGTGATGCTTTGAAATGCTGAGTATAGGTGTCCAGTAATGTGACGGGGCACCACACGTTGTGGGTAGGATAGTATCTAACCTCTACCGGGGGTGCGTGTTGATTAGTTTTGGAGTGATGCAGAGCTAAAATATAGTAATCCATGTGTTTCGTTAAGTGTGAATGAAGCAGAATGTGAGTGGACTGGGATGTGTTGATGGCGGTAAATTCTCTTGGTCTCAAGAAACCATAAAAGCTACGTATATGGCGGTTTTTATAACAAGGTTTGTGTTGTTCGCAAAGGGTTTTGAATCTAGTAGGCTGGATAAATCCTTGAAGATATTGAAGTCTATAGGTAGCCTT